TTTTAAATTTATCTCTATTGATAGAAATTATTCCACTTAAGAAAATATATTCTAACTTCTCTTCAACTTTTTTTTTTATTGAGGATAACCATAAATTTTTACTTAGTAACAATTGTACTTTTATAAATTTTAATAATTTTCTATTAAAGAGGTCTCGAATATATTATAGATTAGATAGCAAAACACACATTTGAGTTGTATATAGTCTAAAAAGAGAAAATATCTTATGGTACTAATGTAATACCCCAAAATTTTGTGATATTTAGGTGTGAGTTAGGGACTAACTTGTAAGGAAAAGATTGTTTTGAGCCTTAATAGCCAAAATTTGATAAGTTGAGGGACTTAGGAAAAGATTTTGGATAAGGATCGGTTGGCTTTTTTCTTCTTTCTTCTTCCTCACCCGATTTTGCTCTTCTTCTTTCTTCCCGCTGCAGCCCGAAATTTCCCCCCAAGCTGCCGGCGACTTCCTCCCTTGAAAAACCGGTAAAGCTTGATGATTTTCCCTTATTTTCTTGTCCAAGAACTTGATTTGGAACCCAGAAATCTCTCCCCCCTGCAGGAGCTTCCGGATCTACCTTGCTCTGCTTCTTCACCGCCGGCTGCTCTTGCTTTGTGGGGGCGAATTGGCTTGGTTTTTTTGGTAAGAAATAGCTCGAATTCTCCCTTCTTTAGCTTTGATTTAAGTTGGGCTCCTTTAATTTTGGGTTAAACCGTGAGTTCCCTGCAGAAATTCCCCAAATTCCAGCCGGCTTCTTCCCCCTTGCACTGCCGCCGGCCTCCCCTAACCTGCAGTCCGGTTCCTTGCTTGCAAATTCTGGTAAGTGGCAGCCCCATCTAAGTCCTAATTTACCCCTTTAATTGTTGAATTTTGTCCATGGATTGGCTGCCCTGTAATGTCCGAATTTTACAGAAAAATAGGGAGGAATTCCGGTCGCCTTTGAACATGATTTAAGCTTGGTTTAAGTGTAAATTAGCTTGATTTAGATTGTTGTGATTTTTGGAGAAAATCCCGTGAGAATAGGCTATGGTTTTGCCCATTTTGGAAGTGGGAGTTACTGTTCACGTCGTGGTTACTGTTCACGGCACTGTTCATGGGTACTGTTCACACACCAAGGGTCAACAATTAACGGGGATTTAAATGATTAGTTTGTGATATAAGAACGAATTTGGAGATATCTGATAATGTGGAGATTTATAGAAATGGCATTGTGATTAGGGGTAGTCTTAATGATGATTTCAGTGTGAATTTGTGATAGTACGGAATTAATTCTTGGATATTTTGATTAGGTTCTTGATCATTGGGGTACTTTAGTACGTGAATTAAGTGCTCGGTTTTATGTGATGTGAGGAAAGTAAATTTATGGTAATGCCCGTATAATTTTTAAAAGCATGTTTTGATTTGTTTTTGAAGTGGTGGTGGGACTAAACTCGTTTTACACGAGCATGATTGATTTGAAGTGAGATTTTTATGTTTTTCATTAAATTGAGCATGCCTACTTGAAATTTAATTGATTGTCTTGATGATTTAAAAGTGATTGGTGAATTATGATTTTCTGTTAACTTCTGCATGTTTTGTCTCCGATATGATCATGTTATTTCTGTAATCCTGCTAGTGGGGGTTAAACACTAGTAATTTCTGTAGCCTGCCAGTGGGAGGTTTATAACACTGGCCGTGACTTATAAAGGAGACGTTTATTTTGTTCCCGTACTGTATCTGTTTTTTGTGATTATACCGGTTGGCATGCTATAAGTTTAATTAAGGGCAAACCATATTTTACTTACTGAGTTTATCTCATAGTTTTCCTTGTCCACCATTTCAGGAAGCGAAACCGAGGACGAGGAAACCACGGGAAGTGACGAGTTAAAAAGCTAGCCATTTCAGGATTGATATAGATTTTAGAAATAAATCATGATCTTGTATTTGGAGATTTTAATTGGAGATTTATGATATCAGAGTAAATTTTAAAGATTTGATCATCAGATTTTGTGGATTGTCAGATGTGAATTTGATAAGTTCCAAGCCTTGTGCATTTGTGAGACCCGTCTCACGAGTGCACGGCATCTGCCACGTATCCGGATTTGGGTTCTGGGGCGTGACAACTAATTTGCAAAAGAATTGATGTCCCTTATATATCAGTCAAATAAGGTATAGAGAACCTAATGGTAATTAGAAATTGTGTAACAATTGTTATAGAAAACATTAACATAACTACTAACATAGTAAGGTCACCTTGTTGAGCATCTTTAGCTATTAGATCACCCCTTTATCATGCCAACCTTAGCAAAGAGCAAAGTCTCAAGCCATCAATAGTCCCTAGCCACTAATGGCTCTAATATAATAAATTAGCCTAGAAGGGGGCTACTGCCATTATCCTTAAGGACAATAGCAATAACAGTATTATCTAACAAAACCTTAGAGGCATGCTCATCTTCAATCTTCTTTGGACTTGCCTTGCATTTGCCTTTAGTTTCCACATTCTTGTTTAGAGATCAGAGAAGGTTTTGCCCTAACCGCTTCCATTTACCTCTGCTAGACCCAAGCTTTTTCTCCACCATTATCTTCAAATTGTCTTCCTTGTTCAAATTGTGTAAAGGGAAATCAACTAAGTTTGTATTTGAATCATAGTTCTCATTCAAGAACTCTTCTTGCATTAGTTACTTACCTTTGTTAACCCCTTCCAAGCTACCTCTCCCCAACAAAACTCCTCTAGTGGCCAACTCTTCTAGTAGTGCTACCATAGGTTCTTTAGGAACCTCTTTTTGTTGTGGTTGTTGTAGAGCTGTTTGCTAAGTAAAGGCCTCATCTTCAAACAGATCAAGGATACTCCAAAATTCTTCAAATTCTGCCTTCAACCATGCTTTTATATCCATGTTCCACTTTCTCTCCTTGTGCTTTCAATTGAAAAGCTAATTCATAATCTGATTCAATGTGGCCCATACACTCACATACATAACAAATTTTAAGGGTCTTTCATATTTGATATTAGGGGTCTTTCATATTTGATATGAAGTTTCTAAGTCTCAATTGCTAATATTTGTGGAATGATGAATTTGTTAAGAGGCTCTTCCACTTCTAAATTAATCCAAACTTTCGAGGCTTTACTATGGTCTTCACCAACTTCCAACAACCTGCCCAAACCCCCACCAAGCTTGTATCCAACTTCCTCGTTGTGTAATCCCATAGGCAAATCATGAACATGCAACCAAAATGTGTTTGATGAGAAGCTATATTGATCAGGTGATGATAAGGTTCGATTAAATTGCCTTACTATGATTAATGAATTGTTGAAGTTCATGGGACCTTTCATCAACACGTTATCAACATCAAACCTATTAGTAAGCTAGAAAAGATAAAATTTTTCCCCAATTTCCCATACCTTCAATCCATTTTGGGGTTTCCAAGAGGTTATCATGACATTTTGTAGCCTTGTGACACATTCTTTTTTGAGAGAGGATCTTGCCCACTAGAGACAATCCATCAATGGATCTAAGTATCTCTTCCCATACATCTATGAGTGAGATGACTCCTCCCTCTTCTCCTGTTAGGTGAATGTTTCTAAAGATTGAACCAACCATCAATTCTTCTAGGCTAGCCGCCTTTGTTTGTTCCTACCTTTTGCTACTATCGATTGTGCCCTTTTGTCTCAAGTTGTTACATGGTGGAGAACTATCGGTTCCATGTTGAAAAAGCCAAGCAAACCCTAAACAAGTTCACCAACCCTACTTGACCCGCTTTGATTAGAGGAAGATGCTAATGTGTGAGATAGGAAGAGAGGGAAATATGACCCCTAAATAGGAGAGAAATCCTAGTGGAAATAACCCACTGTCGCAACGAGGAAACCCTAGGCTCAAGGTAGTGCCACCACCATTGATTGGTAATAATTTTTTTAATAACCATATCAATTAAAAGTATGACAAATAAAAGAGTGAAAAATAATATATCTCCATATGCAATTTCCATCCTACAAATCGGGTGTAAGTTATGGCCATCATTTGTTTTGTGAAAACCAGCAAGTACTGTATAGAAAATATTAATTTTATTTGATTTGATTTTTTAAAATATCTAATAATTAATAGAATAATTAATACTTATTACTTAATAAATTGAAATCAATTTTTAAATTGATATTGTCAGACATTATAACTATCTATTTAAAAAAAAATTAATACAAACATTAGTCAAATTTTAGTGGCTTTAACAAAACAAATGGTGGCCATAATCATACCCCTACAAATTGTATATCATTGTCTCAGGGATTTTTAGACCAAAAATTAGCTCAATCCAACGGTTCTGGATTCGACGGTTTTCCAATGCAGCACTCAGTAGAATTTTCTGCTTGTCTCACCCAAAACTCCAATTTCTAATCTCTGAAACTGAAAAGCAGAGTTGACTCTTTAATTGAATTGAATAAGTTGTTTAGCATTTGATCTTACATTTGAATTCAGTGTAATTTTATTAGTTTGGAGTTTTTAAAAATAGTTGAATATGATACTTAAAAATATTTATTTATAAATCAATTTTAATTTATTAAATAATAAATATGAATTATTTTATTAATTATAAATTATTTTTAATCATTAATAAATTAAAATAAAAATTTAATAATTTTTAGTGACTTTAATAAATTTAATTAATGGTGGCCATAATAATATTTAGTGACTTTAATAAATTTAATTAATGGTGGCCATAATAATATAGCCCATTTCATGTCAACAAC